TTTTATCAGTTAATATAAAGGAAGCCCTGTGTCTAAGGTGCAGAACTAGCCCACTGCTATTCACAACCTACAGTTTAGCACTTAACACTCTGAATATTGTAGAGGGAGCCTAGGTACTGAAGAATGGGATTCACAAAAGCCAGGATGCATAAGCTAGCCACTACAAAACTGGTGTTACCTAAGTCCTGCCTCTCAAAGGAAGTTAGTTACTCTTTGCATTTACAGGATGGGGAGGAGGGGGTGTCAGGTTACTACAGTATCCTGCACAGGACTAAATGTTAAGGGTTGCACCCTCCCACCCCTTGTGTAGGTTTAGGCATGCTTAGACAATATCTACCAGAGTGGGCTCCAAAAGTAAGATAGGTGAAAGAACCCCTAGTCAATGCTGGTGGGACTTAGACACAGTCAGCATAATGCTAGGGCTACCGAAATGATGGGTATTATAGCACCTATCCCAATAAGTTAAGGAAGCTTAAGTGCAGAGGGTCTAATCTGCCCTAGCTGTTAAAACATGGTGAGTTCTTGGTTCAGATATACACAGAGCAAAAGACCACATACAAAGAGCCCTTTATTTACTCATCTGCAAACCTTCCCCTGTAAAGTGCATTCTGTAACAAAACAATCCAGAGGAGCTGATTCATTGGATCATGAGTGAACTTTAAAGGAGGTATTTCAAATAGTTTCTCTCTACAATCATGACAGAAATACTCAAATTGCACCTCATACCTTGTGATTGATAAAAGCATGTCCTGAATTACCACCTGTATCAGGTGAAAGCACTCAATTTGAAAATATTTCTTCCCCACCCTCTGCGAAAACAGGCAAGGAAGTCATGGCCTAAGCACTACCCAACCATGGCTTAAGTTTAAACCTCATCTAAATCACCCTCTCTGGTTCAATAAGAGTTTGTCTTAATAGCTGCAGATCAAATGTGCCTGAGAATCCAAAGCTCAACGTTTCCAAGAAGTAGCTACAACCAATTTCCACTGAGTGGCCAGACTCACGCTGCTAGAACATCTGGCTTTACAGATTTCTTGTACAGAATCTGATCAACAGTTTTATGGCAGTCCGCTAGCTGCATTGATTTCCAGAGCAACACAGTCACAACAAGCACGTGATAGGCCAGAGCCAGCTTGGGTTGAAGACTCAAATGAAATTTGCAATTTGTGAATTCTGGTTCTTTCACAGCCAGGCCTGTTTCTTCTCTGT